CAAACTGATCTAGCCATGTATTTCCATTCTTTTGAACTACTGGGTTTTAACTACAAAGGTTTCCATGTTCATAAACAACGAAACTCGATCAAGTTTTAATCAAAGGAGAAAACTGAGAAAAATCAATCAAATCGTGCAAAATTATTCTTATCATGTGTTGAATGTTGCCTTTCCGCCCATTGTTATCAAACTTAGACGTTAGTATGAATAAATTAGCAAACAGCGATAATGTAAAGATGATGCAGACGTCCGCATGCATGCATGGAAAAGAAATTATCATTGAAAAGCCAATTTGGCTGACTACGTACACCGTGGTTAAAAAATCTTAACACGCAATGTAAAATAAAATTGCAGCGAAAAATTTAGAAATGATATCACAACAAAGTAAATGGTTTGAACCCGGGAGTATCGTTATATGTTTGTATATGATGATCGTCCAGGTTAATAAAGTCCTGAGAAGGACTGTTTTTGTTGTTGTTGACTGACGTTTCGACAACCTTAGCGGTAGTCATCTTCAGAGTCAAATGAGGAGTAAACGTAAGGTTAGCCGTATTTGTTGTCTGGTTCTTACGTCATTGTATTGTGTGTACAGGAAATGTGCAGGAAATGTGTATTGTCATTGTGGATTAGTGTGAAGTGAAAAATTTTATTTTTAGTTGTGATGTGTGATTTAGGTGTGACGTTTTTAGTTGTAGTGTGTGTGTGGGTGTCAATTGTGTATTGTCATTGTGAATTAGTTTGAAGTGTAATGTTTTTAGTTGATCGTTTGTTTGTATTGTGAATAAGTCGTTTGTAAGGTGCCGGTAATTGCTGTGATCTGTTCAGGGGGGTTTGTTCCAAGTTGGTATACCAACTTTCTAATGTAAGCCGTTGTCTATAGTCAGTACTGTAAGTGATGCATTTACCGAGTCCCAGTCAATGTTGTGCTTTGTGATTCGGTGATGTTCGGCAATGTGATTAGTTTTGTCTTGTTTCTTAGTAGCTCGTTTGTGCTCAGTTAGTCTTATGTTTAAGTTCCTGCCAGTTTCCCCGATATAGGAGGCGTGGCAGTCGGAGCAGTTTATTTTGTAAACTGCACCTTGTCGTTCGTTGGGTTGTTCTTTGTCCTTTATGTTCGTTAGTACTTGTCGTAACGTTGTGATTGGTTTATGTGCGACACGTATGTTGTATGGTCGTAAGATACGCGAGATAGTCTCAGACGTACCTTTGATGTAAGGTATCGTTGCTTTTGTCACTGAGTTGTTCGTTTCGTTGGGTTCGTTGGGTTTGTAAGTGTTGCGTTTGATAAAGTCAGAGTTATAGTTGTTTTGTCAAAACACGTTTGAGATAGTTGTTTTCGTTTTGTAGAGCGTCCGGTGAATCACATATGATTTGTGCACGTCTTGTTAATGTTCTGATTGTGGTGGCTTTGTGTGATGTAGGGTTGTAAGATGATTGGTCTAGTAGTCGGTCAGTATGTGTTGGCTTGCGATAAACTGTTGTTCCTAGTTTTTGATTGTCATGTTTTACCAAACAGTCGAGAAAAGGAAGAGTTCCGTTTTCTTCGACATCTTTGGTAAATTGTATGTGGCTGTTCTGTTTGTTGATGTGAGTATGGAAGTCATCAATCTCGTCTGCATGTAGTGCTGTGATTGTGTCATCTACGTAGCGAAACCAAAAAGGTAGTGCATGTTTGTAAGTCATGAGTGCCCGTTCCTCTATAGATTGCATTACAATTTCAGCAACTACAACAGAAACGGGCGAGCCCATTGCTGTCCCATGTAATTGTTTGTAGTGTGTTCCTTTGTATTGGAAGTAAGTCGAGGTGAGGCAGAGCTCTAGTAACTCCATAATGTCTTCTGTCGGTAATGGCAGTACGTCCGTGGTGTTTGTAATGAGGGTTTTTGTACAAGTAAGTGCCAGATTAAGTGGAATACTGGTGAACAGTGATTTCACATCAAAAGACACTAGTATATAGTTGTCCGGTATTTGTATAGTGCACAGTTTTTTAATGAAAGTTTCAGTGGATTGTAGCTTGTGTTTTGATTTGTTTGTAAGTGGTTGCAGTATGTTAGTCAAGTACTTTGAAAGTTCGTAAGTAGGCGAACCAGAGAATGATACAATTGGTCGCATGGGTATTTGTGGTTTGTGAAGTTTTGGTAGTCCGTATAGTCTGGGTGGTCGTGGTACTGAACATCTGAGTCGATAGTAAATACGTTCAGATATAATGTTAGATTTTCTCATAGAGAAGATCTTGCTGTTAAGTTTGCGTACTAGCGATGGTGTTGGGTCTCGTTTGAGTTGTTCGTACGTTTGTCTGTCGTTAACAAGTGCGTCCATTTTGTTAAAGTAATCATTCCTGTCCATGACCACAGTCACGCGTCCTTTGTCTGCTGGTAAAATGACGATGTTGTTGTCGTGTTTTAGTCGTTTGAGTGCTTGTTGTTCGTCTTTTGTCAAGTTGTTGTCACGTATAGAGGACAACGGCTTACATTAGAAAGTTGGTATACCAACTTGGAACAAACCCCCCTGAACAGATCACAGCAATTACCGGCACCTTACAAACGACCTATTCACAATACAAACAAACGATCAACTAAAAACATTACACTTCAAACTAATTCACAATGACAATACACAATTGACACCCACACACACACTACAACTAAAAACGTCACACCTAAATCACACATCACAACTAAAAATAAAATTTTTCACTTCACACTAATCCACAATGACAATACACATTTCCTGCACATTTCCTGTACACACAATACAATGACGTAAGAACCAGACAACAAATACGGCTAACCTGACGTTTACTCCTCATTTGACTCTGAAGATGACTACCGCTAAGGTTGTCGAAACGTCAGTCAACAACAACAAAAACAGTCCTTCTCAGGACTTTATTAACCTGGACGATCATGATATCACAACGTTAGAAAAACATTACTTAGTAACCATTGCAAAAGTATGACAATGAAATTAAATTTTGATAACATATTGAAGTCATCGTAAGCACATGCACCTGTTCAAACTAATAAGCAAAGATGATTAAATTTTTCAAGCACAGATTTTAAAATTTTTCACTCGCGGGAGGAGCTAAAAATTTCAGTGATGTTAGCTGGTGACAGACAAAATAATGGTCTTGATTTTGGGGTGCAGTAAAAACCTAGAGTGTTGAAATTTAAAAAAATGTTTCAAGCAAAAAAAATCACAAACAAATATCACACTCGCTATTGGCCATCTGGCGACACCAGATTAATATTTATTTAAATATTTTCTTTTTTAACACTTATTACATGTTGCTACAGTGTCAACCTGTCTAGTAATAAGTAAAGTATACTGAATACATTTATTAATTTACTATAAGCTATTAACCATTAACCATGTTGTCTGTACACGGTGTATAAACGATAAAAGTATTCAAAAGAATCAAAACTTCAAAAGTTTTCACTTAACAAGCGTAAGTGCTAAATTGCGAGGATAATAACGTAAACGAGTTAATGGATGGAAAAATGAAAGCGGAACAGTTTGCTTTCATCGAGAAATGTAATTTTTTTCATCGTCAATTGCATTTTTTTCAGAAAGTCTTGGCACCGAGGCAAGCTTCAAAGTAAACTTCACATCAGTTCGAAGACGGTGTTTTCTTTTCACAGATTGCTTGATTTCAAATATTTTAGCAAAAATCGAGCCATCGATGGAGAAATGAGAATGCCATTGACTGCAACTTCTTTTTCACACTCAGTGAGTGTGAGTGAGCTTTTTGAATACAAGAGTTGAGTTTTTGGGCCATTGTTGCTTTTTTCTCTTTTTACCTTTTATTTTTAACACTGATAACAGCAGACTGAGAAGATAAACGTTCCTAGACCATTTGCTAATTTAATTTAAGAAACATCTCCAGTACTGATTCGGTGTCTTTCAAAATATGTGCTATCAAACGGCAATCTTAGTTCGTGCAGTTTTATACTTTGAACACTTGGAATTTGTACATTAAAATGTGTCAAAACACAGCGAGGCAAAAAAATTGCTTAGTCTATAGGAGCATTAAAACGTATGGTGGCTTATACTCCAATGAATACAGCTATCCAAATTTATCATGCACTAATCTAGCCTTATTTTGACTATTGCTGCTCGGTTTGGGATGGGCTTGGTGAAACGCTAAGCACAAAATTACAAAAACTACAGAACCGAGCAGTTCGATTTATAAACAGAGCTGGTTGTGACACAAATGAGGTGCGTTACTGAACTTCTTACAATTAGATAACGTCTCGCTTAGGCGGAAAAAATTAAGAATTAGGTCAGTATTTAAAACTCCTAAAGGCCATACTCCATATTATGTACAGAGTTTTTTCTCGATGCGTAGTACACAATACGATCTTAGAAACTCTGAAATGAAGCTGAATTCATAGAAATAAATAAAATTTGAAATAAAATTTTAGAAATAACATGTGTGAAAATTGATCATTTCGAGTGAAAAACATACGTATCGCACAAAATTCTTTTCCTGTTTTTTTTGGGGAAAAATTTTTTTTGAGGGGTACATAATATATTTAGGGTGCGATATTTTGAGTTTAGTCCGCTACACACCCCTCCCTCACAAACTTCGTTCGTGAAATTATTTACAACATGTAAGCAAATGCGACTGTTGATAATTGAACTGGAAAGACGAAATTTTTATTCGCATGGGAAGATTAATTAGCAATGCTGACGTCAGTGGCGTACCCAGCCCGCGTATTTTAATCGGTAGTGCAACGTTCACTCAACGCGAAAACAATACATTAGTATTTTCTAAAGAAATCTATCATGAAATGCTCTGAAACTTTCATGCCAGGACTAAAACAACGCCAAATTTTAACTGATGTATGGAAAATCATGAAAAAAGGAGAGGTGACGTCACAAGCAGGATCTTGATAGTGAGTCAACACATTTACCAAGAGAATCAATATAGCTAGCTGTTAACAGCTTACTTAACACAATAACGAGAAAAACAATTTATGAATATAAATAGCACATCATTCTATACTACGTAACATATTTATGTGAAATGTGGAACTTTTCCAAATTGCTTGTTTTTGTGCAAACCCCGCTACAACAATTTCCTTCTTATGATCGAAGAATTAATAAAAACACTAAATATCTACATTACTTCACGTATAGCTACAATATACACTTTGCTTCAAGCGTTTGCTTCATTTATTAGAAGATTTTAATTCCATAAAACAGCTCAGATAGGCATTAGATTAATAAATATTTTAAGAAGAGTTATGCAATAATGATATCTAATCCACGCCATCAAGCAATATTTACCATTCTAAAACTTTTTTGCGACGACGGTATTCTTTAAGACGATTGTTGCTATACCTAAACCATACAAATATAATTAGAACATGGCCAAAGCCACTCAGCCAGTCGGCATCTAGTATTTTGACGTTCTATGTAAGGGTTAGAGCAAGATCACGTGTGTGTATTAAATAGGGGTTAGGGCATGGTCACGTGTGTTCTTTATATAATGGTTAGAGCATGATCACGAGTGTTCTTGAAGAAGGGTTAGAGCATGATCACGTGTGTTCCATCTAATGCTCGGAACTCTAAATCCCATACAACACACGTGATCATGCTCTAAATCATACACACACAGTCAATACAAATAGTTATCAAAGCAACACATAGCTGCCATGTTGGAGGTCAGATACAAAAGAATACATAATGCGAGCCAGCGTGGGCGAAAGTTATTGTTTTCTTAAAGCCTGTGGTTGATTGAAACGAAACAATATAAACGATTAAGAATCTTATAATGTACGACAACAATTTTGGTTAAAGTGTAAACAATTAAGAGATGATGAATGAGATGAATTGGTTAAAAAAAAGTATACGCTTTGATGGATTATCAATACAGTTTGACAAAATTAGAAGTACGTTGTCACTTGTCATTTACTGAAGGCCATCAGAAGATCGATTGTTGAAGGGGTACATATTTACGTACGTATGGTGTGTTTGCAGGCGACGTCAAAGCGGCCATATTGGGGGTTAAATCAAAACGCCAATGCACAACAGCACATGAAATTAATGTACGTACATTGGTTTTAATAAATGGGATTTTCCACAACATGGCGACCGATGAAAACACTATTTATATGCATCACATAATCGTAAAAAAACCAATAAATTTAGAAGGAAATTAATAAGGCATATCATGATTTTCGAGTTTTGGCATGGGACGTCAAAGCGGCCATGTTGTGCAATTAGATCAAAGTGAACATAAAATTAAGGCTTCGTTTACACTATAACAAATTCGCTCATCACGACATCCTCATTTTCTTTAAAGGAGTAACCTTTCGGAGAAAAAGCTTATTAACTTGAAAGATTTAGTCTATTTAGTGTTTCTCACATTGAACAATTTCAAGATCGTGACTAAAACACCACACGAGTACATACGAGTACATACGAGTACATACGAGTAACATACGAGTACATACGAGTGACATACGAGTACATACGAGTAACATACAAGTACATACGAGTAACATACGAGTACATACGAGTGACATACGACTATTTTCTGGTCAACAAATGAGAAACTACACAATTTCTTCAATACATTGATATTTGCGTTTATTTTTCCTTGTATTTGTGTGGACTTTGGGGCAACCATTTGATGGATTTAAATGCTGAAAAGGTATTTTACTTTCATACTACATTTATTTGTATGTTTTAGTTGAATTTGTTATAGATATTTTGTCGATGCGATTTGCCAGTATTTGAGCGCTTTTTGACACACTTTCACCTAGGAAATACATATTTATGAAAGCGATTATACATTCATTTTGGTCTTTAAGATACTGATTTTGCAGTTAAAAGACTGAATTATATCAGCTAGAACTTTAAAAACATTAAAAGAAAGCTGAAATTGTACGCATAATATGATATACATACGTAACACAGTGCAACTCTCATTTAATTCAAATATATATAATGTACATTTATTTCACATAGCACGTTTTTAAAGCATTATTTATACGTTGTTTATTTAATCGCTTTCATAAATATGTATTTCCTAGGTGAAAGTGTGTCAAAAAGCGCTCAAATACTGGCAAATCGCATCGACAAAATATCTATAACAAATTCAACTAAAACATACAAATGAATGTAGTATGAAAGTAAAATACCTTTTCAGCATTTAAATCCATCAAATGGTTGCCCAAAAGTCCACACAAATACAAGGAAAAATAAACGCAAATATCAATGTATTGAAGAAATTGTGTTGTTTCTCATTTGTTGACCAGAAAAGAGTCGTATGTCACTATGTATGTATATTACTATGTACTCGTATGTCACTCGTATGTACTCGTATGTTACTCGTATGTACTCGTATGTACTGTATGTACTCGTGTGGTGTTTTAGTCACGATCCAATTTCAATGCCTTTCACAAAAAAAATACAAAGAAAATTTAACCTGCTACGATATTAGCTAATACGTTACCTAAGAGTATGTTTACACTACTCTGGATCGGTCTAAAATTGGCGCAAAAAACAGTGAGAACCGGGCTGCGTTTAAACTGCACCGAAGCAAAATTGTTTGAAAATTTCCTTTTCTAGAGTGATACGACCGCACTTTCAAAACATAGTCAAGCAAAAACGGAGTGGTAAGAAGCATTACTTAAACAACTAACAGTTAATATTTCGCTACATTTTACAAAACAATTCTCTTCAATTCGTCCCGCGTTGTGGCGCATAATTGAAAATAGTGAACATTATACGTTTTCAAAAGCTCTTTATGAAAAATTTGCAGTAGATTTTACAAGTCATTGTTTATTATCACCTATGGCTAGAGATATAAACATCTAGCAATACGTAAACGAGAAATGACGTCATTAGTTCACAAACAACTAACGAATTTTGACAGCAAGAGACATAACATCCGCAAAACTGAAGCGGAGTTTAAACAGATCAGTGTAAACCAAAGATATACCTTACTTGTATTAAAATTCGAGTCGTACTCATTTTCGCTCAGCTTTAAATTCGCGCGATTTAATTTCGCGCACTTTGTTGACAATTATTCGCGCAGCTTTAAATTCGCGCAAGTAGTTTTATGTGCTTGTTCTTTTTGGTTTGTTCAAAAGAACTATTAATAACTAACGCATTTATATTGAGCTTTCTTTATGAAGAAATACCTCAATATTCATCAAAAAAGCGATTGGGTGGCCTCAAAAATGGCTTCAAAATAAAGCGTGAGTTCACTATCCCAACAAGAACTAAAAAATGTAATAAATGATGTTGCCTAACAATATACTTTATAAGTCAAACAAAAGTTTAGATACAGTTCAAATGGATCCTCTTTTCGTTGTGGTTCCTCGGAACTTCCTCCAATGCGGCGCTCACACCTGATCGTTGCCAACCTTTGACGACAATGTCCTTGTTCGATTGCATGTAATCATAGAACTGCACTATCCATTTTGCGTGAAGTGGTTTGAGCACGCTAATTCTCAAATCAACAGAAACTTTATCAGGTTGAATACCTTTCTCTATTTGGGCTTGGACTTGCTCTGAATACCAAGTTTGCGCCTGGTTTCGAAGGAAAGCTTTGAAAGAGCGATTGACCGTTAAATCTAAGGGCTGCAGGTATGATGTCATATTATTGGGAACAGGTATCATCTTCCCATTATTGTCGAAAATGATCTTCTTTACGGCATCCGTCCAATGTGCTTTAAAAACATCGGCGATCAAAACCCATTGTTTTGTTGCGCGAAAACCAAGCTCTTCTCTAATTTGCTTAATACAGGGGATAAGAATGCGATTGACTAATTCAATTGCTTTCGTTTCATTTGACCAATGATTTTCCGTGTGGGTAACGTGGAATTCTTATGGAAATCTGAATTTAGGGTGACACCGGTCTGTTTTCCCCTGGTAGATTAGTTGAATGGGTGCTACGCTGTTTTATTTGTTTTGCGATATCTTCAACGTTAATCGGTGCCTCCTGTGTTGTTTGCGGGCGTTTATCTGGGTCAGGTTTTTTCAAGAGGTTCCATGCCTTTCTGCTTGAGTGGCAGAAGTCCGTGTTTTCTACTGTTTCCTGCCATTTCTTGCAACGTCCTTTTTGTTTTAATATTGAGTGATTTATCGTGAAGGGTAGATTCATCATCAATGCTAGCGAAATTGTTCTGTCATCAATTACCTGTGATCATCACACCATGTCTATTGGGAGATTTGTGTATTCGTGCTGATCGTGGTGGCTGTTGCTGTTCATCTATCATACTGTTGTGGAACTATCTTACATTTCTTCATTGACTTCATGTTTTCATTGTCTTCTAATAGTTCATCATTCTGTTTTTCGGTCAAAATATCTTTATTATATCTATTTTTGACTATTGTAGATTTCTTTCGTCGATCAAATGAGCTTTCGTCAAATAATACGTCTCTTCATATGTGAATTTTACCAGTTGAAACAACGTATAGTCGATAAACTTTACTTTTGAGGCTGTACCCAACAAATGTGCATTTCTTGGTTTTGGAGTCCCATTTTGCCTTGTTTCCTTAGGAACGTCCATGTAAGCCGTGCAACCTAAAATTCTCAGATGCGAAACATTATTTTTTTAGACTGGAAACATTCGTAAGGTGTAACTCCGTTCACAGATACAGTAGGACTTCGATTTCTTAAGTTGACTGCAGTATGAACTGCTTCAGCCCAAAACTTCTTTTGTAGTTTTGCGTTTTTCAGCATAGATCGTGCAGCTTCTTGAATGGTTCTGTTCTTTCTTTCAGAAACTCCGTTCTGCTGTGGCGTTCTTGGAACACTAAACTGATGCTGAATTCCCTTGTCCTTTAGATATTTTTCAAACATGTGACAAGTGTACTCACCACCGTTGTCTGATTGAAGTACTTTAATTTTCTTGTTAGTGAGAGTGGTCATCATTGCTTCAAACTCTTTGAATTTCTCAAAAGCTTCATCCTTTCTCTTTAAAAGTAGACTGTTGTGTACCTTGATTTATCATCAATAAATGTTGTAAAATATTTATTTCCACAAAGACTTGTTTCTTCCATCGGTCCACAAACATCGCTATGGACAAGATCAAGTATATCTTGAGCAAGCGTTGCAGGTTCTCGAGGAAAGGTTGCTCGTATCTGCTTTCCTTGTGCACATCCTTCACAAACTTCAAAGTGATCATCGGATTGAAAATTAAGACCTTTAACCAATTTTTGATCTCGAAGTAGACGTAAATTCTTTAGGCTTAGATGGCCATATCATTGATGCCATATTTCTTCGCTAGTATCACTTGTAGAAACATTCGCATGATTCGAATCATTCTGTTCTTCTTTAACATCAAGAACATACATGTTATTCATCATTCTTCCTGATCCAGATATAGTTCCATTTTGATCAAGTATCAAGCAAGTGTGTTGTTTAAATTCAACTGAGTATCCTTGTTTTGCCGTTGTACTAACTGAGAAAAGATATTTTCCTAAATCTGGAACAATGTTTATAATGAGATCGTAGGGAACGTCATAAGCGGTAACCACTTCCTTAATAGAACGATGAAACGTGAAGCGAATTTCTTTTAAGAAGCCAGGTGATACGGGTTGTTTTGCAGTTGTTGCTCTACGTTTACTGAAACCCAATCTTCTGAAAATTGACTGGCACCATGTATAGTGGAATTCTAGGGTTCCTCCGTTTTCTTTCAACAAAGACCGATCATTAGCCAGTACTATCCCCTTCGCTATGGAAAAAGCAATGTTGTAATTGACAACACAACCGGCCGTTCTCGTGCTCTTGATCATAGCGATAATTTTCTCATCGATGTTCTCTGGTAACAAAGTTTTTGCTCCACGATATTTTCTTGGAATTGTTCGAGTTCAGTGCGCTCTTTTCGTTCCTTATTGTACGATTTGACAAGTTCCCGATTTTGCAATTTCTTTTTTGAATATGGGGGCAATATAGAAGCATGTGTGTGTGACATCAAATTTCGTCGATCCCCATTACCACATGGAGGCTTGGAGATTCCTATTACCCTAACAGTCATGCAGAACAATGCAAGTTTTAGGATATACAGCAAAATGCAGGCATTCGTGACGGATTACTACGTAGAACCTGAGAATATCCCGACTGAAATTGTACAGGATGAAAATGAAGACATTTTTGATTTTTAATGTTACCAGGACAACTAAAAACATATGTCAATATGTATATGCGTTAATAAAACAACTGATTTGCATAACCAACAATGAATGTCTCATATTACACTAAAAAGCTTTTCGCGCGGATTATATTTCGCGCAGTACTAAAATTCGCGCACTCAGCGCTGCGCGAATTCTAGTACTGCGCGAATTTTAATACAAGTAAGGTAGTAGGTCTAGATCATTGAGTTCTATAATAACTGGAGGGGAAACGTCAACAAAATTAGTATAGATTATTAGCGCTCGGCCGCGTGGTCAAAAACATGGCGGATTTTGGTGGTCAAAGTCAGCGGAGAGACGCGGGCTCATGAAATAAAATTTTTGTCGCCCACCCTGATTTGACCACCACGATTGCGAGTATAGAAAATATCAAAACTATTTATTTTCCTCACATAAACACTTTTTTAAAATTTTATTTATTAAACTGCCAACTTTTGTGGTTTGCAGATGCTGAAATAGCGACAGAAAAGGGAACATTTCTTGACTCCGGTAAGTAGCACAGTATTAGTTTTACTATTTTGTTTTTAACACGATACTTGAAGAGTGTTTCTACTACTAAGTTTTAATTTAAAGTTATTTTGGTCCAGTCTTGTTTGTTCTTCACTTAATCGCTCGCCAGACGTGGCGAAGCTGTCAATATTTATCGAGTTTTGCATCCATCTTGTATCATGATCAAGGCATCAAGCTAAACTCTCCTGATTTGAATTGAGTTTACCTCCCAAAAATGGGGCATAATTTGTTCATGTTCTTTTTTTGAAAAGATGAAGTGAAAGTTTACAACAGAGTTGTGTTGAAATTGAATGCAGTGCCATGCAAAATTAACGAGAACTATGAATATGTTGTATAATAAAAATAACTATTAAACTGTTTGCTTGCTCAATTTGACTGACTGTATGGTGTAGACAATTATAATGAGATTGGAAAGTTGGATTTATGCAAACAATTTTAAAGTACTACTCAGCGTTTCTGTAAATGAAGTATTTATTGTTATAGTAAACAGGTTACTACTTCAAAACCAAGATGAAAGTAGTGTGTTGAACAATGTGCTAAGATTTGTTTCTACCTTGAAATTTTTGTTCAACAGTAGCTTATGATTATATCATTAATATGCATGAAAAATTAAACATATTATTGTCTCATCTCATTAAATCCATACTTGGTATGATTCCAGGTGATCCACAAATTCACATCAGATGCATTGGTTACAATGAAGTTGAATGTAGAAGAAGCAAAAGTAGATGGCAAAGAAATTCTTTGTGTCTTATGAAGAATTAGTAGAAATCAATAAAAAGAATTCTCTAAACAAATTGTAAACAAATTTAAATTTGCTCATGGTCAAGCAACCTAGTCAAAGAAGCAAAGTCTGTCTTCAACATGTGACCTTTCCAATTATTTAGTTTCTTTGTACAAAATACTATTTTCGAGAAACTTGATTGGTAAGTCTTTCATTAATATTTTTTCACCAAGAGATAAAAGGAACTAATTCAAAGGCTTGATGTAAAATACAAAGATTTAACAAGTTGTTTATCATTTAATTCCCAAATGTTAGTTTGTACATATAAATAATTAGTACTGGTAGCTGTAAGTTGTTTAAGCAAAACAGAAGAGTAGTAGTGCTTGAAGGGGTTAGCATTTTTGAAAAATTATATCTTGTTCATGACATATATTACACAATTCCAAAAAACTGTAAATAATGCACAATAATATCTACAGAACTTGATAAATTTCTTCACCTACACTGTCAAATAACTATTTTGCCTTCATGCAGCGATAGACAGAGTGTTTTTGTCAGAGAAACCAATGCACTTTAGTTTCCAAGTTTGTAATTTCAATGGAAAATTAATGTAGTTCTGTTCAGTAATAGATCCAAGATTCTGCCAAGCTGTTTACAAAATACAAATTACCAAGCAACAGTGTCATGGTGTTTTGAATTTTTTCTTTTTAGCTCTTCTAGTTCAACATACTTTCTTTATGAGTTTTCATTAGATTTATCAGGTAATGACAATACACTTATGATACTTATCCATGGTAAACTTTCAGTTGACTTATGTCGTAGGACTGGACCAAACATTTTCTTGCTTCCTTAGGATCATTTTTACACAGATTTATCCATTTGAAGCAAGAAAAATAGTTGCACCAAACTGTTTACAAACAGTCAAACACACAGAAGCATGAAATATTGTATAAGTTTGACGAGATTGACAGGTCTATTAAAGAATGCCGTTTGATTTTCACTTTTAAAAGGCTAAAATGTCATAAAATAACTTAAATGTTACATCCACAATATGCGTTTCTCTACCGTCGATCTTCTTTATTTTGATGTGTGTGTACTGTGTTTTTCACGCAATGCTGAAGCATTATTTTCACATGATATGCTGTCGGTATCGTAATTGGTTTTTTTTTCTCACTTGTTTTCGTTCATACAAACAGTATTAGAAATCAGGAGGGAGTGAATATTGAAAAAAATTTTTAAAGTGGAAGTTTTGACCACCAAAATCCGCCATTACCGCCATGTTTTTGACCACGGGGTCCAGGCCCCTTTGCCCTCCAGGTCTTATAGAGCTCAATGGTCTAGATTACTGACGAGCATTGAGTTCTATAATAACTGGAGCGGCTATCTCAAGCGCGGCCTTAGATATCTGATGATGACAAAAAAATGGCGGATTTCGTCCTTTGCCGCTGAGATTTACCGAAATTGACCGCTTTTCCGAAAATTTCCCAATTCCCACTCCCTCCTGAGGAAAGAGTGAGGAAAATGTATGTGGGTATTTGGGATTCGGCAAGCAATTTTTTGATGAAAATCAAGGTAAAAACCTTAAATTCATAACAGCGAGTCAACTGTGGTTGTCAGTTATCTGCTCCTACGAGGATGCATTTATAACTATCGACGAAAGACCTATATGTCGGCTACACATGTATGAATGCAGATGTGCGTCGTTTTCTTACCAGCGTCAAACTTGTTTGATCGATTAAACTCTTTAGTCAATACAAAAAAGTATATCTTAGTTCATCTCCACGGTTCACGAGAGAGAAGTCAGCTTATTTGTTATCATTGTTATTTTGCTTCTTTTCATGCAATGGGCAATGGCTTTTTTCGCCACAATTGTAGGATTTTTACTTGTTTCTTTAAAAAAGTACATATTAAATCTCTGGATATTTACGGATTTTCTGTAATTGAGTTAAATATGAAATTTCAAAAAGACTCAAGTCTGCATAGGTTTGGTAAATGAAAACAAACAATATTGTATAGAAATTACTTTAAGTCACCTTTTTGTGATGTTCTGAAGTGCAACTGCATCAAATACTTGTAAAGTTGTAGCACATTTTGATTTTGTTGTATTGATATATGAATTGGGCAAAATGCAAATAATCATCAAAACACTTATGCTTCCAATGGTGTTTATAATTCATTTGTAGTTTTAATACTTCTACCTTTCTTTTTCACTTTGTTTTGTTTTTCCTATATTTGCAATAAAAGTGCACTATAATTTGAATGATTAACACAGTTTTCACCTCAATAATAAATTTCATAAGCAGTTGGTAGTGCATTTTGTTCTCTGAGTATCCACATCTGGTGTTTTGTTCATACAAGAATGATGAAGTGCAAGTAGATATGTCATAGCAAGGCAATAAAACCAAATGAATTACATACCTATAGTGTACTTTTAAATTAGAATATTATTGTATTATTTTACCTCTATATCATCAATCTCATGAAAAGAAATAAGAAGCAAAAAATTTGTAGACAAGCTTTGAAAAGTGAAAAACTTTTCTTTAAAAAAGCAGCAATAATGCATATGATAAATCTCCATTCTGTACTCTAATAGGTAAATAAGCTCAAATTTTTCTTAAAGAAATATAAGAAATATATAAGAAATATACAGTACAGTAACTTTAAAGTTTCATCACTGAATCTTTAATGCTTCAGTATAGTGCATTAGATATTAGTCCATTGTCTCCATCCATAGAATTTGACCATGATTAAATTAAATAACTCTGGATAGGGCAGACAATAAATCAATTATCTTTACAGCATTATCATTTTTTAAGACTCTGCCTGGTCAATAACATCTTCCAGTCATCTTTACTCCTTGATCTTCCCTGCATGTTGTCAGCAAATAGAACATAACAAGCTCTGCTCCAAATCATGGGTACCGTTGGGGCTGATCATTTCTTTTTGATACTTACTCACAGAGCAAAATGTGTGCAGGGTCTTTTTTGCTTTAGGGAAACTATTTTGCAAATAAATGGGTAAAGTTACGATTTCATGCATTAACAAATGACAGAAAAGTATGCAGAATTTTATAAACAAAAACAGGAAAACATCAGTATATTTGGCGTTCAAGTCAGTCTTAAAGAATACGATCTTTAATATGTATTTTATGGCTTTTCAAGTGCAAACAACTACCTCACCTGTGAGAAGCGATATGTTCCTTTTTGTGGAAACTACGACATCCAACAATTGAACGATTGAAGTGTTGGCATTATAAAAGAAATGCCAAAAAAGATATCGTCACAGAATATGGAACTAACGATATCCATATTCTGTGATATCGTGTTTGTTTTTGAAAAACTCTTTTTATTTACTATAGACACCAGGGGGAGGTCGAGAATATTATTTTTCTGCAAAGCGATCATTTCAGCGGAAATACGTCCTTTGGCCGCTATTTTTTTGGCATCCTCGCCCCAGTAAAGTTATCCGCTCTAGTTATAATAGAACTCAATGCTGACGAGCCGCCATATTGCGTGACATCCATGATAAATCCAAGATGGCGTGGGAACCGGGCAAAAAACATAGAGTCACTATAGGGGAATTGATGTTTTTCGCAATTTACTTCTTCTCATTGTTTTCAAACTCTTCCGATGAAGTTTTATTGGAAACAAATCTTTATTTCAAGTGTTTCGAAACCATATTGGACAGTTATAATTGAAATACGGGTGAAAATATCGCTTTCGAAATATTGTGTAAATTGGTCGTTATGTTGTCTCAAGTCGTTTGTCCACTAAGAGAAACAGATTTTTTCAGCTTTAACTCCCATACTGATTTGTTGCGCATCGGAATATGTCATATTGACAATTTACAGAAAGATTGGGGAATCAAACTGAATATTTCTGACAAAAAAGCGACTTATTCGAGAAAGCACTCCCACTGTACTCGTACTGATATGTGAGATATGTGAGATTCAAACACGGTTTAGAAAGGCCATCCGACTTTGAATGAATGAAAATAGGAGAAAGGAGATACATAACACTGCAGCACTATTATCTACTGACAAGATCTTAGTGAAGCTATTAAAGTTAGTAAACTTAACTGAAGGAAACTTACCTCATCTCAAGTAATTGTATCCAGGAGCATTGGCTATACTGATGCGATCTTACAGCTAAGTGGTTCAACGAAAGAGAGGAACTTATGTTCAGAAGCTTGTTATATTAACAGTGGTTATTTCAAAATCTGAAACAATTACATTCAAACACATAACCCAAGATACTGTTACAATACTATTTTTGGAGAGATTTATAAAGCTCTGTATAAAGTATTTTTTTACCAGAGCTAAGGTGTTCATTAAATTTATATATTATCTTATGAAATATTTGATATGGATGTCATCGGTGGCATATCCAAAATGAATGTTTTACACTCGCTATTTAAATTTCACTGCATCATTGCTCATTTCATTAGAAATCTATTGTTTTTACAGTGAGTGAACACACAAGATTGAGATAGAATGAGCAAATAAAAATGCTGGCTATGGCTGATATTATCATAAGATATAGCTGTGAATAAAATATATGTGACTTTTATGCTTATCATACTTAGTTATAGTATATGTTTTTATTATGCTATAGCTACAACACCATCTATGATACCAGTTGTTTCCAATGGCAATACAATTTTATAAATACAAATGTCTAAATTGAATCACATTATTAACATGCAACTAATGACTTCTGACAAAAATTGTATCAAACTGCTCAGTTGGTTCATTTTATGACACGTATAAAGATAAATAAACTACTGATATTTCTTTGTTCAATACATGACAGCCCCAGCAACTGCCAACTGCTCTGTTTTAAGTGAAAGCAAGCTAGCTGAAGAGACACAAAATGTTGATAGGAGAGTTTCAGCATTATTAAACAGTTCACTCTTTGGCATGATGACGTACTGACCTATATCAGTGGATACATAGCCAAGTTGCATCAAGTGTGCTGAATGTGCAACTGCCTTAACCATAGAGAATTATGACCAACCTCTCATATCTGACCACTCATACTGTCATGAAGGTTCATTAAAGTCAAGCTTAACATCTTTCAAGACCTATGGCAAGCTTACAAGTCCATCCTCATTGGTAAAAGTAGTGAAAGCAGCAGATAAAGCCCTTCGATGAAGATTAATTTTCCCATCTTTTTGTATGTATTCAATATCATGTATTTCAATGTGGACGAACAATTATGGGAACTAAAGCAGACGAAATCCGTTTAGTTTGGCAGACAAACGCCTCGAGACAATCAAACGACCAATTTACACAATACTTCGCAAGCGATATTTTCGCCTGTATTCCAATAATAATTGTCTAATATGGCTTCAAAACATTATTAATAACGCTTTGTTTCCAATAAAACTTGATTGGAGGAGTTTGAAAACACTGAAAGGAAGTAAACTGCAAAAAACAACAATTGCCTAATAGTAGCCCTAAGTTTTTTGCCCGGTTCCCGCGCCATCTTGGATTTATCATGAATGTCACGCTGCCGTCTTAATAAGTCTTATATTACGTCACACTCGTCAGCGATCTAGACCTACTATATCTATGGTGTAAACGCAGTCAAATTCTGCCGTCAGTTTTCACTCCGTAGTAGGGTAAACGTACTTTAACATAAAGTCTTCTGTCTATATTGAAGTTTGCCCCATCATGGCGACTGATGACAACAATCTATTGTATATGAAAACATACATGAGCTCCCAATTGTTACAAGACCGGTCCTGTCAATGATGCTTTCATTTCATTTAATGCATTTAAAAATTTAAAGGACCTCGTATCAAACATGGAAATGCTTAAGCTGATACCGATTATCTTAAAGCATACATAACCCACTGAGCGATAAAATAAACTCCTTTTGTTTTCAATATAATTAATCCGCAAAACTCTGGAACATATCTTTGGTTGAAAAATAAACCCCACTTTAAAATAATCAAGATAAAAAAATGTTCACCCGCAATCCAGTGGCCAAGCTTTTACTCCTACAATTCTTATATCTTGGTGTTTAATCATTAGAAAAACAATGAATGGAATCTATATTCCACAAAAATAAATAATAATTTTGGTGAAAAATTCGCACTGTAGGAGTGAAAGACTGGGCATGCCACTACAATCTCAAAACACTGACGACTTTTTTTCCTGGTACTCTTGGCCGCTTTTTCGGGTATTATTTCTCACATAGGTAAGAAGTTCCGAACACAATGCTGGTAACGACGATTTGAAAAATAAGATATTCTAGCCAAAAGGCTTACAAACACTAGATTCATGACAGGCAATTCAGTTTTTCAAATCGGATGAAACGAAAAAGTAAATTGTAGTAAAACATGACTGGTTTGGGCACTGGAACACGTGAAAACTGCACGCTTTTTTACCTAACAGAATCGATGGATTTTCCATGCAAAAATAATAACGGCTAAATGCACGATGCATGGTACAAACCAAACACAAGATAAATGAACTATTTTTATGAAAAAGAGTATGCTTCACTTACTCCAAGAAATCAAAATCAATCGTCGAGAAGTTTGCTTGAAGCAATCCCCACACTCCCCATAGCAAATGTGATACCTTAAAGGAAAGGAATTACTATTATATGTTGTCATTACATTTATGGATGTCATTTAATGCTTGAGTCGTAAAATAGTGAAGCTGATGAAAATCCGAATTTCTGCCACCGGATGTAGAAGTATCAGCTTACTGTACATCAAATATTTTATTTTTCCAACACGTTCATCAAATATTAAGTTGAAAACATGCATTTGTGCAAGAAAAAAGAAAGATGACAGCCGTTTCCTAAGAACGCACCAATGAAACTGACAAGGTGATTTTTTGTAACAGCAGCTGCCAAAAATTCCCAAAAAATAATAGGTAGATAACATCAAAGTTCTTATACCATTGAGTCACGAAAGTAGCGTCCCCTGAAAGTATCCGCTTTTATGACATTTTCTAAAGAATCGCAACAAAAAGCGCCAAATCAAAAGTAACCGCTACCTCGAAGTAACCGCCCTCTTTATAGAACTTTTAAGAGCTTTACAACATTTATACTTCGCATGCATTCGTATCAAATACCGCAACCATTTGTAAAAATACCGTATACAAATCGTGGATTTAGAGTTATCCGATAAATATACAAGTCGTAACAAAGCGCCTTCCAAATCTAAGAGCAAAACAAAGCACTCCCTGAGGCCACTAATTTTGAAATTAGTCCTAGCAGTTACTTTCGATCTCTACGGTATATCACCCATAAGGTTTCAAAAGTACAAATTAACGTTCAAAAGGTTCTTCAGCAAATTGCACGAACAATTTTATTTTGTTGAATAGTTTAATTTTTCACTTTCAATCCAATTTCATTTGTTAGTAGAAATGACGGGAAAAACTGAATGACAATAATAAAAAATAACCTTTGGTATTTATGCGCTAGCTTAGCGTATTATTTATAATTTTGACCAATCACACTTTTCTTAAAATAAAATTTAATAAAAATTTGATTTATTTTTCAAGAGCCGTAGGCCGGGAGCAGGAGATGAGTCAAATAATCCGTCAGTGAGATTTTCGCAAACGTTTAACACCATAAGTGTCTAAACTCCAACAAAAAATACAGCAAACATACGAATTTGTTGTTTATAAAAACTTCCACAGACATAGAGCAATTCTGAGACAAGCCGCTGTCTCTCATCGAAGTAAAAGTCTCTAATATAACTTTTTCTTCATTCAAAGCAAAAATTCCAAATTTAGTTGTTAGATTATTTAAAAGACCAGTCAATTTTAGTACTGCCATAAGAAGAGATGACCAACACCCACGCCTTTGGCAATATTTTTTTGTCATATCCTACATCATTAATAATGTCTTAGCGTGCTTCTTTAGCGGAGACTACATTTACCGAGAAACGGCATGCTTCACTATCAAACTTCATGAATTTTCGGACTTGTAAACTCTTTACTCGACCTGAAGCTTGTTTAACAGGATGCGGAGCTTCTTTAGTAGTAGCCAGAGGTCTTTTTTCCGGAGCCGGAGTTTACTCAGCCGAAACCTAAGCCGGAGATGAAATACCCTGAGTATGCACAGCACTAAAGATGATCATTTATATCAAAACAAAAATAGAAAACTCCAGTAAACTCCAGATTCAAGCACATATGAAGATCTTTGCTTGATGGATAAACTTATAATATAACTAACCACAGAAAATTTGTTGACTTGAGCTTGTAACAATTCAATGTCCTCTTCACTCCTCAAATCATCACATCCTATAATGTAAAAAATTGCCAATGCATACTTTTCAACAAAGTCCAAAAGAAAAGGAAGTGATGTATAAGCAACGATATAAATTGAAAATATAAGTTAACAAAATAAGCAAAACCTTACGAAAGTAACAGTACGAAAAAAATATTTGTTTAAACTACAAACACAGATCTCAGAGTCAATTATAACAGACATTGCATAATCAATAGCACCTTGTATTTTAGCTTTTTCGCTGACATACATTCTTAACCATTTCATCTGAAATTCTTTGTCAGGATACAAGCTATAATCAGGATCAACCACAACACCTGAAAAAGACACACATGGGTTGAGACAGCATAGAAGAATTTTTGGGTATTAAATTTACAATTGCATGTGTGTATTAAGAGGATGTGATTAAAAAAGCAAACCACAGCGATTAATTACATACCTCCAAACTCATTGAAATGGTTACCAATATCAAAAACACAGTAGTTGTATGTACCATACTCATGATCAATAAACGACACGTCATCTATAGGAGAGAAAATACAGGATGTGATGGATTATACATCATGGATCATTCATCATAAATCATTCATCATGGATCATTCATCATGGATTGTCCTTATTATTCATCATAAAAAGTTCATTTATGCTTAATTTACCAAACTCGGATTTAGCAATCGAGTAAGATATCCTTACCGTGATTTTAGCATAATTCAATTAGGAAATACATGGATAAATGTGTGATTTGTCATAAACTTATAGTATAAATGTTTAGTATACAAGACAAATACGCTGTGAAAATATGATCCAATTCTGTACATCCCTGAGTAAGTACATCAGTAAGTTTTGAAGTTAATAAAAGTGTCAAAACGTAAGTTGTAACTTCTTTTTGTCTGGTCCAAAAATTCTCCCATAGTGACCAGTGGTCGATTACTAATTACGGGGTCTGTAGGCTAAGACAAAGTTGTTGGACTTTAAGTGGGATATCCACTCCTCCCACTAAATTCAGTCTCTTAATGACTATTGCGTTCCATACGCTCCTATGCCTTTGCATTTCCCAGTTTGTTTTTGTAACTCATAGTATGAACAATAAGGAATAAATTTAAAGTTTAAACTGGGAAAAACCACTACTTCATGAGTTCTGAGCATCGTGCATTTTAGCAGTAGTTCCTATGGTTTTTAACAGCATAAATTGTCTAAATTGAGAACATTGGTCTTGTCCGGAATGGCAAAAACTAAAAACTAATTATGTCTAGATACAACGAGCCTCTCGAAAGCTCTTTATTTCATGACCAAGCGTTCGCATGTTTTGTAAAATTTAATTCCTGTCATTTACATCAGTTGTCACGGCCCTGTAGAGTTTAGGCCTCTGAGAAAAAATGAAAAACGTGGAAGAGATAACTTTAGCAGGGTATGGGATCCTGGTTAGGTCAGAATAGATCACTAGAAATGCATTTTCAATTCAAAATATATAACAGTAATTTAGCAAATCTTGCATGGTAACATGTTAATTTTTAAATATCCTATAGACTTTTCTAACCGACAACCTTCTTAAAAAAATTTCAATTCAAAACAAGCTGCTATAATGTATTTTGAGCTACCCCAGATCCACCACTGCTTTTAGCTATGGGAAGGGCTTACAGTCAAGACCTTTAATTGAGATCAGACTACTGTCAATCTTCCTCAGGAGAAGCGACACTATCATGATTAATGACAGAAGAGCATATAACTTAACTTTGAATTTTATGCAAAGGTGTGCGGAGGCATAGGCACTCCTCCTTACATTAATTGGATGGTAGGGCTTTTAATTTCACCACAAAATGTACCTAACAAACAAGCCAAAAGCTATTGTGATTATTGTTTAATGGACCACGCATCTCTCAATCATAATATCCATTAATCATAATACAAAGTAAACAGAATTCAACAAAAAATTTGAAATGCTACAGCAACGAGAAGAAAAAGAAATCTGATCCAAACTAGAGCACTCCCCTCCCCCAACAAAATCATTGTGGCAGGGATGGACATATAACTACTAAGGGCTAAAACTGGGTGAAAGTAGGGCACCCTCGCCTAAGGAGGCCACAGTCTAGAAGACACGTACTGTAGAACAAGGAACATTTGCTCAGTAGTCTTCCGCATAAAAATTAGCAATACTAGACATTAAAATCAGTTTTATTGGGGGCTCCCAGATGTGATGTTATTGGAATGCCTCTGCATAACAGATCTATTCCTGACTGACATAATCATTTCAGGAGTTTTATTATTTTGCAGAAAACCAAACAGCAACTGCACACATTTTTAAATTTAAATTTCCCTTTCAACAACATTGACATGGAATTGCACAAAGATTTCAGGTCAAGTAAAACATGAAAACAAGCATGATTTTAGGGTTATTTTGTTGAAATAGCAATGCAATTTCAACAAAATAGACTTACATGATTTAAAAAATATGCATCAAAGTTAAGTTAGTTATACATAATGAACTCAGAACCTGAGCATCAAAGAAACTTTACATTTGTAATTAGTAACACACACAAATATACATTGCAAAGAAGAGCCTTTTCCCTCACCTCCAAACAAACTATGTGCTACTTATTACAAATGGCCAGATCTATACTTTAACCAATATACCTTTTTCCTTTGTGTAAATAATGTTGTTTTCAAGCAAGTCATTGTGGCAATATCCTAGTGGAGTATCACAATCCTTCAATCTTTCTTTGAGAAACTCTAGCTCATTTGCCACATTTAGTTGGCTGAGAATTTCTGTTTCATACCTAACAAAAACAATCATGAAAAATTAGTGATGACATCAAGAATTAGGAAACAATTTTCATCTCAAGAAGTAAAAAAGAAAGAGTTGTGATTGAGATTTGCCATAACAACTGCAATTGAATAATACTTTATATAGTGTTTTTAGGAATGTAGCAGTCACAAATAAAAAATACATTTCTTCCTTTCAAACTGTTAAAAAAGGAAATGACATCACAGTGTATAACTCTCAACTTAATTGTTAATCATGTGACCTATGTACTTGTTGTTCTGCCTTATAAAAGAGAGCACATGTTATGTTAAAATATATTGTCAATCGTTATGTTGTTAAACTCTTTTATGATTCTATCTGATGTTCGGTAAAACCTCTAAATCTAACAGGTTATGGGCCCAGAATGCTATGGTCTACATGTGAATCGAACAAGTCGACGATTTTATAAAATATTTCTATAAGTATTTTGCGGTCGAATATAAAATGAATATGGCTGAATTGAATTCGTTCAAATTTGCGAAGTTAAATGGGTCGAACTATCGGACCTGGTCTTTTAACATGCGTTTATACTTAGAAAGCCTTGATCTGTTTGAACATGCTGAGGGTACTGCTCAACTTACGTCGGAAAGTGCCGAAGTTCGTCAGAGTTTTGCGCGTAATGCGAAGAAGGCATGGACTCACATCTGTCTGGCTATCGAACCAGAATATCAAATTCATGTACGCCATACCACAACTGCAAAAGAAGCATGGGACGCTCTAAAGAAGCAATTTGCTAGAGAATCTCTGTTACAGAAAGTGAGATTGAGACAACAATACTACGCTTGCCGTTATCGTTCAGGAGAAAGCATGTTGGAGCATATTAGTCACTTAAGAACATTGCATGACCAGCTAAAAGACATGGGGGTAGAAGTAGATGACAAAGAACTGGCAATGACACTCTTAGCGAGTTTGCCTGAAGAGTTCAAACCCTTGATTACAGCCCTGGATGCAATAGGTGATGACTCCTTATCTTACGACAAAGTGAAAAACATGTTGTTAAATGATGTTGATCGACGACAAGACGGAAAGGATCCTGAAGGAGCATTTGCTGCTGGAAGAAATATGAGAAAAGGAAAGCAACAATATGTATTTAAAGGGAAGTGTCACAACTGTCATGAAAGAGGGCATTTTGCTCGTGACTGTCCAAAGAAAAAGGTCCTCGACGACAGGAACAAGAAAAGTAATGAAAGAAAGAAAGGTGAATCTGCTAGCTGCGTAGAGAAAGAGGATGATGATAATATGGTGGAAGACGAAGCATTGTATACCTCAAGTTCATGGAATAATAACTGCTGGATTATCAACTCAGGTGCCACACAGCACATGACCTATAATAAGAGCAATTTGATTGAATATGTTCAATTTTTAAATCCATCAATTGTTAATCTTGGAGATAATAGAAGTATTCTTGCATATGGTAAAGGGGTTTGCCGTATTATTGCTGATGCAAATGAAAGACCTCAGAAGATAAGTTTGCGAGATGTGTTGTATGTACCAGATCTTGGTAGGAATTTGCTTTCTGTAAGAGCCATGGTAAAGCTTGGAGCATGTGTTACTTTCAAAGATGATCAATGTGAGATCTTTAGAGGTACAAAGTTGTTGGCAAGTGGTATAATGCTGGAAAAACTGTATGTATTGAAAATCATTGAAGGTAACTATGTGAATGTTGAAATAGATGATAAATTAATGTTATGGCATTATCGTTTTGGTCACCTTGGAATGAACAATGTTTCAAAACTGCTGAATGATGATATGGTTATTGGCATGGACACTACGCCTAAGGAAGAATCTCCATGTGAGGGATGCATTATGGGTAAGCATCATAAATCCAAATATCCCAAAAAGGAAGCAAAGCGTGCAATTAAACCGTTTGAATTGGTGCACAGTGACGTTTGTGGACCGATGTCAACAAATTCACTTGGTGGTTCAAAGTATTTTGTTCTTTTTATTGATGATTTTTCAAGGTACACTTATGTTTATTTCATTAAGAACAAACATGAAGTATTGGAGAAGTTTAAAATATTTAATGCAATGGTTTTAAACATCACTGGTTGTTCAGTTAAAGTTTTAAGGACAGACAATGGTGGGGAATATTGTTCCAAAGAATTTAAAGAATTCTTAAGCAGAAAGGAATTACACATCAACTTACTGAGCCGTATAATCCCGCACAGAATGGTGTATCGGAACGAATGAATCGCACACTTGTAGAATCAGCCAGATTAATGTTATCACGCAGTAATATGCCGTTACAATTTTGGGCAGAAGCAGTGAATACAGCTGTCTATCTGAGAAATCGAAGTCCGACAGTATCACTTAATGGAGTTACACCGTTTGAATGCTTGTTCAATAAAAAACCAGATGTTTCTAATCTGAGAGTATTTGGATGCCTAGTTTACGCTCACATGCCTGCAAGTCAACGAAAGAAATTTTCAGAGAAATCAAAGAAGTGTATCTTCATCGGATATCCTGAAGGGACGAAAGGCTACAAATTGTTTGATGTACTCAGTCAAAAGTTTTTTCGAAGCAGGGATGCTGTCTTTCTTGAGAAAAGATTTTACGACTTCAAAGGTAATGAAAACAAACAGTTCGGTAACTTTTACACTCCACTAGAAGAAAAGATTGATGAACCACATGAAATACCAATGGAAGAATTTGCTCAAGAAGAAAATAACGAAATTGAAAACCCAGTTGAAGCAGATCAGCACCTTCAACCAGTGGGAGCGACATATGAAGAAAATTTTCTTAGAGAAACTCAAAGCCTTCCCAGAAAAAGAATATCTAGACCTCCCAACAGATTTGATGAAGAGAATTACTTCTCACAAAGCTTGACTGCTGACATCAACGAACCATGTAACATCCAAGAAGCTTGGAATGGTGAAAACAGCAACTATTGGCGAACAGCAACTGATTCAGAGTATCAATCATTATTAGATAACCAGACATGGGAACTTGTTCCTCCTCCTGAAGGGAAGAATATAGTAGGATGTCGTTGGGTATTCAAGGTAAAGCGAAAGGAGAATGGATCTGTGGAAAGATACAAAGCAAGACTAGTGGCGCAAGGTTACTCTCAATCTGAAGGTACCGACTATGAAGAAGTTTTTTCACCAGTAGTCCGTTATGCATCAATTACATTATTGCTGAGTGTAGCGAACATACACAACTGGGAAGTTCACCAAACTGACGTAAAGACTGCCTTTTTGCAAGGTAAGCTAGAAGATGAAATTTACATGAAACAGCCGGAAGGTTATGTTGATCAAGAGAAGAATTATGTATGTCGATTGAAGAAAAGCATATATGGTTTGAAACAGGCTGCACGATGTTGGAATTCTGAAATCGACAAGTTTCTATTGTCAAATGAATATCGAAAAAGTAATGCAGATTCGTGTGTCTATATAAAGTCCATTAAACAAAAGAATGGTAAAATCGACTTTGTCATATTGGCCTTGTATGTGGATGACATACTGTGGTTTTCTAATTGTACAGATATTTTGACTAAAGAAAAGAGATCTCTCGCTAAGAGATTCGAAGTCGAACATGTTGGTGAAGTAGGTTACATTTTGGGAATGTCAATAAAGCGCAACCGTCAAGCTAAAACACTTAGTATCAGTCAGTCACAATATTTGCTTGGAGTACTAAAGAAGTTTGGAATGGATGAATCAAAACCAGTATCAACACCACTAGATACGTCAAAGAAGTTTGTATCATTATCTGATAATGAGAAGCCAGTAGATGTTCAGAAATATCAAATGGCAATAGGTTGCTTAACATATGCAACTGTTGCAACTCGTCCAGACTTAGCTGCCGCCGTCGCAACTTTATCTAAATATATGTCCAGACCAGGTAAAGATCATTGGCAAGCAGTAAAAAGAGTGTTTCGTTATATCAAAGGAACGATGGACTATGGTCTTTTGTTTACTGCGAATGGAAAAGATTCTGATTTGTATGGTTTTTCAGACGCCGATTGGGGTGGTGATGTGGAGACAAGACGTTCTACATCAGGGTATGTTTTTCAGATTCAAAACAGTATGATAAGCTGGTGCAGTAAACGACAGACATCTGTATCAAAATCTACAACTGAAGCCGAATATATTGCTTTGAGTTCAGCTTCACAAGAGTGTATCTGGCTAAGAAGATTACTGAATGATATTGAATTGTTGAAACCTGTTCCTACAACAATTTACGAAGATAATCAAGGAGCCATTCAATTGTGCAAGAATCCGAAATTTCATAATCGCACAAAGCACATTGACATATCCTATCACTTCATTAGAGAGCAAGTTAATAAGAACGCAATATGCGTAAAGTATTGTCCTACAGAATCAATGATTGCTGACATTATGACTAAACCATTAAGCAAGCCTACGTATGAACGTTTTAGAGATCTTCTTGGTGTAAAACAAATTTAACTTAATAAGTAATTTAGTTGATCGTTAAGTGGGAGTGTTAAAAAAGGAAATGACATCACAGTGTATAACTCTCAACTTAATTGTTAATCATGTGACCTATGTACTTGTTGTTCTGCCTTATAAGAGAGCACATGTTATGTTAAAATATATTGTCAATCGTTATGTTGTTAAACTCTTTTATGATTCTATCTGATGTTCGGTAAAACCTCTAAATCTAACACAAACTTGTGTGATTATGATGAATGGAAATATGTACAATTCGAAGACAAAGCAATGTCTAAGTGCTAATTTCATACAATTAAAATAAGGTAATCACTTTCTGTTTGATCATTTCTTTTGTCCTTAGGTGCTGTATTTAAAATTTCCAATTCTCAAGTAAAATAGAAATATATAAAAAAGGAAAACATTTAAAACCATTTTATTCACTGAGAATATCAAAAAGGTCATCTCTATTCCATCAATCTCAATTCTGCGAAGAAAATTTTAACTTTGAAGATGACGCTTTTATAGCATAAATACTTCATTAGGGTATTTTTTTTCCTTTTAGTGCAGAGAATTAGAGAAATCAATGCCTTGAATTGACCTATAATGCATATGTATAATGAATTTTTATGTTATACTTGAGCTGAAAAACAAAACCCTAAAACTTATGGTTGTAATTTAAATAACACAAAGTGCCTCCTATACTTTTGAAAACAATATTACCTTTGTGTCAGTTGTGCCAGCAGGATTTTGTTTAGGGGCGGGCAAAACTGTCACAAAATGTAACTTACATATATGGTGCACTGTTTTATATAACTAACATTTTCATGCAATACATACATAGAGACGTTGCTATGACAAATATTACAGTGTAGTTGCCCCCCTTGCAACCCCCCATGCTGGCACCTCATCTTGGTGTTAGGGCATACAGTGTTTCATTATTCTGTGAATCAATATAAAACACTGCAAAAGGTACAGATTCTGGTTTGGATTTTTGCAATTCATTAAATTTTTTTTGGTGTTGCACTATGTTAAAGAGATGTTCTATAACTTGCAATTCATGCTTTATTTTTTTTAAGAAATTGAAGGTATGTTCAATATACATTACCTGCCTTGTTTAACACTTTCAGGAAATCTTTCTGGTAATGCATTCAAAAACTTTTCAATCGTATTAAACACACACGGTCCATTTGACCTGAAATTACTAGGTAATTCAATGGAATGAAGATGAGCCAATTTCTTTGCAATGAGAGCACTGAAATGTGAATCAGACATCTCTTTCGTTCCAAGTGTTCGCCCTGTTATAAAACCGTGACAATATCCATTCTCGAATGTTGCATATAACTTAGGGGCCATATTTTTTGAGTAGAGGAACTGAACATTTAATAACTCTTGCTTTCTATCTATAAAAAGCTCAGTTTGGTTTCCATACAATCTGAATATAACAAGATCTTCATCACTGCTGTTTTGAGGTCGACAACCGACTAATTTGTTGCTTATCCCTTCCGTAAATTCTTTAAACAGTAACTCTTTGTCCGACCATTCTGGAATAATTTTGTGAATATTCCTTTTGATAATTATTTCGTAATTCTTGAAGGGGATCTTTTTGTCCAAATTTAAGTCAATTTTGCCTTCCATGTTTCACGAAACGGCGAAGTACTTGAAAATTTGAAAATTATCTTAACGTATGAATATAGTTGTATGCCTTTCGGATTTTGACATGCACTGAAGCCGGGAAATAAATGTACATTATATATATTTGAATTAAATGAGAGTTGCACTGTGTGACGTATACATATCATATTATGCGTACAGTTTCAGCTTACTTATGTACATTGACGTATGAATATAGTGTATGCCTTTCGGATTTTGTATTGCACTGAAGCCGGGCAAATTTACTTCCGGAGCCCCAAAGTAGTGAGAATCAATATGGCGTTGTATTAGAAAATATGTGGTCCAAGTTAATATCTCGCAATTATTAGCAAATCGCGAAGGTTGCATCAACGTTTTTGCACTATTTATGAAATAAATCATTGTGACTATAGTTTTTAAGAAAAAAATTGCAGAATACGCCAATACATCGCCGTAAAATTGATTTCAAGTGTAGTTCGATTTGAAAGCATCAGCAGCGACGAAGGCTTAAGATACTGGAATTTGCACATCTAAATATCACAGCACAATCTGCGA